TGGTAGAACGTGCAGATCTGTCCTGGCAGAGGAGGGAGAGCTTGTACCTGAATAAAACCTGGTCTTAAAGGTGCTACTGGACTGTTTTGGATTGCTAGCTATTGGGGGGGGGGGATGTGCAGATCCGCCCTCACAGAGGAGGGAGAGCTTGTACCTGAAGGCGGACTGGGGGGGGCTCTGCAACTTACCTGGCTGCTTCTTGCTCCTCGTGGCCTGACTGAGGGCTGCTGGGAGCAGGGGGGGGCTTGTTGCATGTGCCCGCACCCTGGGCTCCTTACTGCCGAAGTTCCGCTCCTGTGTGCTCCCGCAGGAAATGACCCCTGGTGGAACAGGAGCACAGCTGTCCACTCAGCCCAGCCTCCCCCAGCCCTTCGTGTCTGGGCCACCCGCCATCCTGTTGCCCTTGAATCGGGGTTTTTCTGGCGGGCCCCAGGGAACAGGAAATGGGTTACGGGCCCACTTGGAACTGACCAGTCACCTTGGCTGTCTCTGCTCCCGAATTGTTGTGCATCCCGTCCCCTTTCGAAGCCGTTTTTCTAAAAGTGCTGCAGAAACAAGCAGTTTAATTTGCAGCCCAGGAGGTGGCACGCTGGTTCCGGGATGACTCATCCCACACCCACACACACCCGCTTGCAGTGCTCCCTTGAACTTTGAGGGCACGCCTCCAAAGCCTGTGCGCTGTGGTCTCGAAGGTGCTTCCGCTTCAGGGTGGTTTCCCTCTCCCTTCCCAGCTGTCCAGCTTAACCCTGCCCTTGATAAGCTGGGCTGGCCATACGTGGGGGAGCCGCAGATAAGGGCTCTAGCCGTATTGACGGCAGAGCAAACAACCCCCCCTCTCTGCGGCAGGTGGCAAGAGGAAGAGCAGGGCTGTTCCTGCCCTTGGCGGCCCCCAAACACGTGGCAGTCGCAGAGGAAACGTGCCAGTTCTCGGGCCATGCCTTCCTTCGCATCTAGGCCACGCTCCCAGCCATCGGCGGCACGGCGGGCGACTGGCACCCTTCCCGGACCTGGTCTGCCACTGGCCAGATCCATGCCAAGCCCCCCTGGCATGACTGGCACCCAGTGGGCGGTGGTGTGGACCCAGGAGGCAGGGTTGCCAGCAACCTGGAGAAAAAACGCCTCACCCCTTTAGCGGAGGCTTAATGTGTGGAAGCAACCTGGATGGCCAAGGCTAGCCCGATCTTGTCAAACCTGGGAAGTTAAGCAGGGTCGGCCCTGGTTAGTGTTTGGATGGGAGACCACCGAGGAAGCCCCAGGATGGCTACGCCGAGGGAGGCAGTGGCAAACCACCTCT